CGTCCTGGGGCCCTTGGGATGCTTCCTGCGGCCTCCTGGGGAGGCCTCCTGCGGCGAAAAGGGCTCCCGTGTTTTCTCGCTTGTTCCGCTATGGCGCGAAAGGGACCCATGTGCTTTTCCGCTTGTTCCGCTCTGGGACGGAAGGGACCCACGTGTTCGCATTCCTGTTCTGTCGAGGGAGGGGCTCAGGTGTTTTCACGCTTGTTCCGCTCTTGCGCGAAATATGCCCACGTGTGTTCACGCTTGCTCCGCTCCGGGGCAAAAATGACCCATGTCTTTTCACGCTCGTTCCGCTCTGAAGCGAAAGGGGCCCACGCATTTTCGCGCTTGTTTCGCTCTGGGAAGAAAGGGACCCCCTGTCATCACGCGTGTTCCATCCTGGGGCGCAAAGGACCCACCTGCTTTCACACGTGCTCTGCACTGGGTCGAAAAGGGCCCTCATGCTTGTTCCAGGTTGGCCAGGCGGATCTCTAACATGAGGATGTGTTGAGGATGTCTCGAGCGAACCTTTGTTTTTTACGAGTCCAGGTCGCCCAGGCGAATCACTACCATGATAATGTGTTGGGGATGTCTAGAGCGAACCGCTCGTTATGCAGAATTTGTTGAGGATGTCTCGAGCGAGGGCCTCGCCTGCAGCGAAAGCCTCCCTCTGCAGGATGTGTTGAGGATGCCTCTTGCGAAACGCTGGTTTGCATTGTTCGAGAAGGTGTCGTGTGGAGGCCTCATCGTTGTCTGGGTCTGCTTCGTTTCGGTTCGGATTCGCCCCCCCGATCGATCCGTCCCACTTCGGAACTGAAGCAGAGAGCTGGTTGAACACCCCGCATGTTACGACTGCAGCCAGCGTTGGGCAAACCATGCGTGCAGGCAGCTGGAGCTTACGACCCAGATCAGTTCGGACAGGATTGGGGTGCCAAGGATGGTTTGGTTCACAACGCAGCAGAGAACAGCACAGCTCAACACAGCATGACGCAGCACCGTGCAGCACGCCACGTATCAATAACGATCTGCGCCAACTCGCGGCCCTGATTTGCGAGGGGCCCTGGCACCTCGGAGTGCGGCTCCCTCCCGACGCCATGCAGTTTCAGGTCGGTGAGCCGAAGCGTATCTGTCTTGGTGTGTCTTGTCTCGCTTCGGTTCAGGTCGGTTCGGCCCTCGTCTCGGTTCGTATCGTTTCGGTTCGTCCTGATGCAGTTCGTGGCGTTTTGATTCGCCGAGCTTCGGTCCGTCCACCCTCGGTGCGTTTCGCGTCGGTTCGGAGTCGCCCCCTCTTGGTTCGTTCCGTTACGGAACTGGATCAGTTCTCAAACTCGAGCTGGTCGAGCTCTGCGCGCGGTGCGATTGCGACCAGTTCGAGATATGCTTTCAGGCAGCTCGAACTTAAGATCCAGATCAGTTCGGGCAGGATTATGTTGCCAAGAACGACCTGATCGACAACGCAATAGGGCACAGTAGAGTTCAACGCGGCGTGGCACATTTCAATGCACCGCAGCACCGCGCAGCACAACCCCTGGAACGCCACATCACCAGGACTACTGCGAGCATTCCAAACGCTTGGTGTTTCGGCAAACCTCCATGCTTCACATTTCTATGTGTGTATCTATATATATATACATCTTTCCGGGTTCGGGGGCCGGTCATGTTTACATGACACGGCGCTCTTGCTTCGCAGCGCCTTCACACCGCTGCAAGCTCCACCCGAGAGTTCGGTGCTTGCCTGAGGAGGTCCCGCGTGCTGGCCCCACGAGTGCTCGTCACCTTCTCGAGCGGAGATCCACATTTTCTTCCTCGCTCAGGCTCGTATAGGGGGGCAGAGACCGAGGGCACCAGGGCGGGGCGTGATGGCACGTTGTTGGCAGTGGCCAGGAGGAGACTACAGAACAGGGGCACTATGGGGCTTTATAAGCATTTCACGACTACGCCCAATAGGCAATGTATGAACCCCCCTGTGCTGTATGGACGTGCTTGCGAGGATGTGCCTGCGAGGAGGCTGACGTCTGAGCTCCCCGCTGGGTTGGCGGGGATGCTGGCGTCGGAGCTCCTCGCTGTGACCGCGAAGCTGCTGCTGTTGGTGGTGACGAGCATGGTGGCGTTCGCGCTCCCGGCTGCACTGGCCAGGATGGGGGCGTCGGCGCCCCTGGCTGCGATGGCGAGGATGCTGACGTCAGCGATCTCGGCTGCGCTGGCGGGCATGCTGTCGCCGGCACTGCTGGCCGCGCTGGCAGGGCTCCTGGCGCCGGAGTTCCCTGCCGAGCTGGCGGGGGCGCGGACCCTCGGTGCCCCAGGCCGTGCTGGCGAGGCTGCCGGCGTTGGCGCTCCCCGCTGTGCCACCGAGGGCGTTGACCACGGTGGCACTGGCGGCGTCAAATGGGAGGCTGGCGTCGGCGATCCGGGCACTGCTGACGAGGATGCGGGCGTCGGTGCTCCCGGCTGCACTGGTGAGGACGGTGGCGTCGGTGCTCCTGGCTGCGACGGCGACAATCCTGGCCTCCGTGCTCCCGGCTTCACAGGCGAGAGTGTGCTGGCATCCGTGGACCCAGATGTGGGAGCGAGGACGCCGGCGCTGGTGCGCCCCGCTGTACAGGCGGTAATGCAGGCGACGGAGATCCAGGCTGTGCTGACGGGGTTGCTGGCGTCGGTGCTCCCAGCTGCACTGGCGGGGACGCAGGCGTCGCTACTCCTGGCTGCGCTGGCGAAGCCCCTGGCGTCGGCTCTCCTTGCCGAGCTGGCGGAAATGCTGCCCGCGGTGGCCCAGGCTGCGTTGGCGGGAATGCTGACGTCGGTGATCCAGGCTCTGCTGACGAGGATGCTGGCGTCAGTGGTCTCGGCTGCGCTGGCGGGGGCGGTGGCGTCGGTGCTGCTGGCTGCGATGGCATCGATGCTGACGTCGGAGCTCGCGGCTCGGGCTGTGCCCGCGGGGGTGCTGACGTCCACGCACCCGGGTGCGGCGACGACGATGCTGGCGCCGGTGCTCCCCGTTGTGCTGGCAAGGGTGGTGGCGGCGGGGATCCAGGGTGTCCTGGTGGGGATGCTGGCGCCGGCGTTGCCCATCCAACATCAATGTGTCGAACATCGCATGGCAATGACTTTTGAGGGCGTCAAGGCGTACCCAACCAGCCCAAAACGAACCCCCACAATGACCCCCCGGTCCGAGCCCTTATGCGAGCGCCTGCCCGGGCTCCTCCGCGACGTCACAGGCACGAGGAGCTCCGAGGCGCCCTCCCTGGGAGCGGGCACGCAACGGGCCCGGGAGGCAGCCCCGTGCCCCTGGAGATCTGAAAGCGTTGGGGACGTCGATTCACATGGAGAGGAAGCATGCTGCCAAAGAATTCCCAGATGCCTAAAACATGTTGGAAACATGCTTTTAATTATGTAAAACACCTTTGAAACGCTTTTAGATCATGTTTTACACAAAGAAGAAAACAAGTGTAATTCAGTGATCTGATCTTTGGAGTGCCCATTGGCATGGCATCCACAATGCAAGCGCCATCGCGCGGGCCCTCTTCAGAAGCCACGACGCCCCCGCCCACAGAGCCCGTCGGGGGAGGGGGGGGCGTGTCCTTGCACGCGCGCCCAGGGGAGGGCTCAAGGCATGGCGATCCCAAGGACTCGGCATCGCTCGGACGTGTGCATTGTTCCTTCGGCGAGGACCATCGAAGAGGATCCTTGATCATTTGGCGAAAAAGCCACGCACGAAACCGAAAAAAACACAGGAATGGACGTCCGAGCGATGGCCAGAGGATTGGAAAGGGGGAGTGAGCGACCCCGCGCGCTGGCCGGAAGACTCCTGAGAAGGACCGCGCCCGGAACCGGCCACCCCCCGCGCGCGCCGAGGGGGGGGGGGGGGGGCTGCGGCAGGGGGGGGGGCCTGCCGGGGATGCCGTCGCGCGCGCATGCGCGGTGGCATCGTGCCGCCGCTGCGAGGGGCATCCGACACGCTCGCCGGAGGTGATCAAGGAAGGAGCGCGGTTTGGGGGGCGCGGCGAGCCCATCCTGGCGACAGAGATTTGGAAACCACATCGGTGGAGCGTCGAAAGGCGTGGGCAGACCGGAAAGGCAGCAGCCTGGAGGGGGTCTGCGGCCCTGACCTTCCCGGAGGGCTAAAAAATAGCACCAGGACCTCGACATCTAGATCTCTGCCGAGGTTTGAGGCAGTCCAGATGGGTTTGCAGGTCTGGAGGGCTATTTTGTTAGCACTCTGGAAGGTCAGGGGGGAGTGAGGTCTGCGGTCCCACGGGCAGCGACCTCAAGGAGTGCCCCCCGCGAGATGGCACCGGGGGGGGGGGGGCGCCCGCTCGGCAGCCCCTGGTTGAAGCCAGGATCCCCTCCAAGCCAGGATCTCCTCCTCTTCCTCCTCCTCCTCCTCCTCTTCCTCCTCCTCCTCCTCCTCCTCCTCCTCCTCGTGAGGGGTGATCTCTGGACATGGCGTTAAGTCGGGCCTGTCCCTCCACCCACAGAATAGTCAAGGAATAGTCAGAGGACGAGGCCTTGTTAGTGTTTGATTAGTTTTGGTTATTCCTGGGCTATATTGTATCTTTTGTCCAAACTCCCCCTGTAGGAGGACATGCCTGACCTAGCGCGAGAGCGTGCGGGGGCACATGGAGGTGGCTATGTGTTAAAACACAGGAAGGACGTCCTCCCATGTGGGCCCTGGGCGGAGCCCTGCCTCAAGGGGGCTGTGTCCACCCCCCAGGCGGGGCCGGGCACTATAGATTGACCCAGATCGCACGATTCCCGAGGAAGGGAGAAAGTTCATCCATGGCAAGCGGGCGATGAACGAAACGGGCCACAGAGACCTCACCCCCCCGCTCTCCAACCCATGCGTACAGGCCCAGAATGGGAAGTGCCTGCGGAGACTTTCCGCCGGGTCTGGCTTGAAGCCCCTGGCCACTTGCACGTTCACCACGTAGCTCCCTGGAAAGCGGGTGGGAACGGAAGGACATGTGGTGGACATCGACTGTTTAGTGTTGTTCTTCGGGTGGATCGGGAGTCCTGGGGACCACATGGCCTTCGGATCGGCCCCGAAGCAGCGCCGTGACTGGCGCCAGCCAGGAGGCCTCGCCTATAGGCCTGCCACCGACCAGTTCTGTCGGGGGATCCACGTCAGAGAGGAGCAGGAGACCATCCGCTTCCCGGAAGAAGAAGTCAGGAATATTCGGATCTCTGTTCGGGGCATCGCCGTGCGACATGGGATGCGCCCAGGTGGCCCTCCAGGACATCCAGGTGCTCCAGGGAAACGTCAACTTCGCGACGATAGCTTATCCTCCTCTTCTCCCTGAATTGGGCGCGGTAGACCGTCTCCTTGGGACGGCAGATCCCTCGCGCAACATGGTGGAAACCGAGGCGGACCCGGGGGGAGGACAGAATCCGGGAGGAATGGTGGGAAGCCATCGAGACTTTCCGCTTCTATGCGGAGGTCCCACATGCCTTGGCGGCGCACTTCACGACGGGTTTGAAGTCGATTCTGACTCCCAGGAACAGGATGGCCCTGCCCTTGGGGCGGGAGGGGGCGCCGCCGAGAAAAGGGTTGAAGCCGCACAATGGACCTCGAGCGCATTGGGCCATGGACTTCCAAGAGGTCACGGGGCTGGTCAGGGAGGGTTTTGCAGTTCACCTCCCTGGCCTTCGCCAAAGGATCCAGCTGGGCAGGGAAGCTGGCCCTGTTGGTCACGGACAACAGCCCCGAGGCGCGGGATGCGTCTCATCCGGCGGCTGGACGCGCTACGGCTTCCAGGTCGCCCTCAAGCAGGGCGTGGATTTCCTCCCGCGGTCAGGAAATGATGCGCGCTGGTATCTGGGAAAGTTAACTCGAGGGACCGCGGATGGAAATCCCGGGGGGGGGGGGCGCAGCGGAGGGGGGCCCTTATTCTCATTCTCCCAAAAAAAGAGACACCGAGGAACAGCGCCGGGCCGCCTGCCAGCTTCTCGCTCGGTGGCGCTCCCCCCGCCCCCGCCCGCAACCGATGGCCGGGATCCTCGCGTCGGAGTTCAGGGCGACCCTGGCGCCCTGCTGCAGGGTGGCGGGGGAGATGGGTGCAATGATGGCGCCTGCCCGACCCTCGCGGACTTCGTCGGTCAGCCGCCCCGGCTGGGGGAGGCCTGGCCGCCCGCCCGGCTCGAGGATGGCGCCCCCCCTTCACTGCAGGCCTTGGGCGATGGGCCGCCCCTCGACGAGGGGGAGGGAAGGCTCGCCTGGCGCCCTGCTGCAGGGCGGCGGGGGAGAGGGGGCGCAAGGAGGGCGCCTGCCCGACCCTCGCGGACTTTGTCGGTCAGCCGCCCCGGCTAGGGGGGGGCATGGCCGCTCGCCTCACGGGGCGGCGCGCGGCTCGAGGATGGCGCCCCCCCCTTCACTGCAGGCCTTGGGCGATGGGCGGCCCCTCGACGACCCTGACCTTCCAGAGAGCTATGTTTTAGCACTGGAGGCCTAAAAACCTAAAAAATAAACGAAACAGCCTAAAACCAAGACGTAGAATAGCTCTGGGATGGGTTTTTAAGTCGGGTGCCATTTTTTAGCCCTCCTGGAAGGTCAGACGAGGGGGAGGGAAGGCTCGTCCGAGGAGCGCCCGGGCTCCAAGGGGGGGAGCCCCGACGGGCAGAGGGCCGCTCGCTCGCCGCCGGCGTCCTGTGCGCCAGGAGCTGGTGGCAGCGGCGGCGGGGGGGGGGCGCGAGGGAGCAGGGGGCCCTCGATCTGCTCTCGCGCGCGCCCCCCTCCCCCCCCGCTGCGACCCGACTCTGCAGAGCCCGAGCAATCTGGGGCCAGACTGCTCCTTGGCCCCCGCGACGGCCGGGGCGCGGGGCCTCGGGGCCGGGGGAGGGGGGGGGGGGGGCCCGCGGGACTGGCGGCGAAAGCTGTGGGGCTCGGGGCGGCCCCAGAGGTGCCCCGTGCGGGGGCAGCGAGGCTCCTCCTGCCCGGGCACGGGCCCGCCAGATCACGCGGGCCGCCGCGGTCACATGGCGGCGAGGGGGGCCGCCCCGGGGAGGCCCGCGCAGGCGTGGGCCGGGGCCCCGACGAGGAGCTCATGAAGCCATCCAGCGCCCCACGGCCGCGGGCGTGGAAGGCGGGCCCCGGTCCGCCCACGCGGAGCACGCGAGAAGTGGCTTCGCCAGTCTTGAGAGGGTTGCCCAGGGAAGAGCGGCATCAGCAACATCGCGTAGATCTGAGCAACCATCGAGTTGAGTTGTACGTCCACTAGCGTGTCTGAGGTAGCACGTGTCAACATGATAGCGCCCCCCTTCACTTGAGAGACTCGATTGGCAAATCGAGTGCCTCACATCAGAGTAACAATATGTTGAATAATGAGATGTGGCTCTCATCGCCAGAGTGAACCTCTGGAAACTTATGGAACTTATGTTTTCACTCGAGCTTGGTTGCGCGATCCTCTGAAGAGTTGATACTGGACCGGGGGAACAAACAAATGCATGCGGAAGTTTCGCCGCGGAGGATCGTCGGGGCCTTCCCAAAGCTCTATGGCAACATGCAGCCTCCTCCTGCCCCTGCTCCTCCCCCCATTTTCCCGCCTTTTCCGCCCGCTCGCGACACGTCCGGCGGCGGCTCCTGCCCAGCCTCCCGCAACTTGGGCCTTGGCACATGGGCGCCCCTGGCGGGCGGGGGGGGGGGGGCCACCTCGCTCCGCTCGTGTGCTCGGGCCCCTGCTCCGCCCCCCCTTCCCCGCCCCCATCCTGCTCCTCTCCCGCCACGCCACGTCCGGCGACAGTCCGTCGCTTGCGCCACGTCTCGATAGTCCTCCGAGCGTGTGTCAGCCCAGTGTGCGTTGTCCTCCCTCAGCTCCGCCGATAACTCGCAGCGCTTGACAGTCATCAGTGCGCAGCAGCAAGTGTTGCGGGGCCTTGTGTCAGCGCCCCACAGGAGCCGTCTTTTCGATGCGGCTCGCCTCTTGCCCTTATTCGAGCATTGACCCTCAGCTCCTCCTCCTGCCCTTATCCTCTTATTTTCTCCGCCTCCTTTTTCCCCTCTTTCCAACTCCTGCCCCTCGCCCCTCTCCGCCGACAGCTGTTGCACATTACCGACGTAACTTTCCGTTACTAACGTAACCTCTTCCGTCAGTAAGGGTGACAGTTGACGTAGAAATATCATCGTGCTTTCGGTCGTTCAGAGTAACCGACGCAACTTCCCGTTACCGACGGAACGTTTCTGTTAGTAACGGAATTCTGCTGTAAGTAGGGGCGCGTGTTTCTCCAGCCAATCTTATGTGAGTCAGCCACGTTTTCCGCACTTCATTTCGCGCGCGGCACCTGCGATCCACCAGCGCGCCGAGACGCTCTGAGACGCGCGCAGATGTGCGGTTACACAGCGTGCAGCTTACCGAAGGGCTTCGGTGGACAAACACACGTTAGCGTTAACATACATACATACTGAGGACCATCGAACGTCTGGCGGCAGCCCTTGCCCATCCTCCCGTATCTTGGTCCTGGCTCGAGCACATGGTTGCCGTACATCCCCGATCCCCGATCAACCGAACATTGCACGTGTCGTCTTCTGCGATGACGCCTTTCGGCCGCGCGGCCACCCTTGTTGTGCTCGGGGCCCCAATGGCGGCCTCTCTGTCATTAGATGCCCGTGCGGGATGCGGCGGCCCCTCGATGGACTTCCCCGCGTTCGTTGAGAAGTATGGGCGCTCCTACCAGGTTGGCACCGATGAGTACAGCGCGCGGCAGGCGGTCTTCGAGCGTCGCACCGCCCGGATCGCGAGCCACAACTGCAACCCAGCGGGCCTCCACACGGCCGAGATCAACCACCTCACCGACTGGACCCCGGAGGAGCTCGCCACGCTCCGCGGCCACAAGTCCCGCCGGGGCGCGCCAGGCGGCGTCGGCCACTTGCCGTTCCTCCTGGCGAAGCGGGGCAAGGGCAAGGACAAGCCCGTTCCCACGGACTTCTCGTGGGGCCACCTGGCCTCCATCAAGGCCAACAGCAGCGAGCAGGACAGCTTGTAATCTTCAAATCGTCGACGAGCAGCGGCAACGGCACAAACCGAATCTCTCGGAGGCCCTCCGGTTCTCTTGGGTCGGCACTGAACCTCCCCACGCCCCTCCACGGCCAGGGGTGGCGCCAGAGGCTCTGTGGGGGTGGTGTGGGCGGGAGTGTATCGCCGATCCACGGAATCCTCAGAGATCTCCGAGATGTGATGTCTTTGCCGTTGTCTTGCTCTCCCAAATCGACTGGGGAGCCAGGTTCAGCCCCCCCCCCCGCTACTCCCCCAGATGAGGTGGCATTTTCAGCTCCAGGCGGGCGCGTTTCCCTGCGGGAGCGGCCAGCGCTGATGAGGTGGGGTTCCGCTTTTAATGTGTTTCGAGTGTTGCTGGTAATGTGCTGCATAGCTTTCATGTGTAAGTTGTTGATGGATGACTGGTGTGGCCGTGTGGTCTCAGTGCGGGAGAAGATGCTGCCACCGTTTGAGCGTATTGCTCAAGGACATGATTTGTCTGATTTCGCTCGGCTTCCCTGGAGGGGTTCTTTGGGTTCCGTAGGTTTCCATGCTGATTCCGAGGGGCGTTGGTCGTGCGCTCTTACTTGCATTGTTCATTTGGCTTCGTTTTTTATTACCCGCGCAAATTTCTTCTCGCTCCTGGCCAGGTTGCAGAGGCTGGCTTTTGGGATGCGCTGCTTTGTGATATGATTAGCAAGCTACTCTATGGGTTTCCCATTGGTTTCTGTCTTCGCGGGTACTGGGGTGAGGCCATCTTAGCTTGTGTGTTTTCGAAGAGGTTCTGCGGTGCGGCCAAGAGATACCAAGCGGGTTCCGCCGAACACCAGAAGCATCTGAGAAGTCTGCGCCGTGTGATGAGTGGTGCCACTGTGCCACCCATCATATAATTGTGCTTTCGGCTGCGAATGAACCTTTCGATATAGTGTATACTCGCGAATTCTCAAGGGCACTTGCGGCAGCTGCTGGGCGCACGCCTCGAGGCTGGCCATGGAGTCGCGAGCGGAGATCAAGGGGCTGAAGAAGATCGGGTTTTCGGCCAACCAGCTCATCGCGTGCACGCCGAACCCGAAGCACTGCGGTGGCGATGGCGGCTGCGATGGGGCCACCGCCGAGCTCGCATACGAGTACGTGTTCAACAAGGGTCTGCTGCAGGCTAGCGAGTGGCGCGCAAAGGCTGGGGACAATCAGACAGCAGAGTGTCCCGAGGCCCTGAAGGCGTCCACCGAGGTGGCCACCAGGGGCATCATCAGCGCCGACGGCAGCGAGACGCACCGCGGCACGGCGAAGATGGTCGGCCGCGCCATTGGCCTCAAGGGGTGGACGAAGCTGCCCGAGAACAAGGAGGACGCGATCGTGAGGGAGTTGATGACCAACGGCCCGCTGTACGTCGCTGTGGCCGCTGGCGACGGCTGGTTCGACTACAAAGAGGGTGTTATGACGGAGGAAGCGTGTGATAGAGACTTCATCCTGAACCACGCGGTGGTCCTCTTCGCCTGGGGCGTCAAGCAGAAGACCATCCGCGGGCCCGTCAAGTACTGGCAGATCAAGAACTCGTGGGGCCCGCAGTGGGGAGAGCAGGGCACGGGCCGCTTCATCCGGTCGGACCACGAGGAGAAGGTGTGCGGCTGGGACGAGGACCCCCAGTCGGGCTCCGGCTGCGACGGCGGCCCCGACAGGGTCTGGGTTTGCGGCACCTGCGGAATCCTCTACGACGTCGTGGCGCCGCACTTCTGAGGGAGTCCGCGGGCGCGCGCTGATGCCCAGCCCACCCTCACCCCACAGCTTCACAAATCGAAGTGTTGAGATCTGCGCGATTTTTGTTGTCTGTCGGCGCCGGGCCTCAATCCCCACACCCTGCGCCAGGGAGGGATGCGGGAGGGCCTTAGCGCTGGCCAAAATGAGTTCGCGCGGACCTCCGGTTGTTCATTGCCACGCCATGTGCTGGTTGTCTACAGACCCTCCAGATGGGGAAACAAACAATGACGTAAACATGAGAAACATTTCAGGTCCGCGCGGATTCCTCGGATCGGCGCGGGGGGCTCCTGGCGGAGCCCGCTTGGAGGGGCCGCCCCGGGCGCGCTCCGCGCGCCAGGGAAGGAGGGTCCAGCGCCGACGCGAGAAATCCGCGCGGACCTCCAAGTTTTTCCAGTCTTGTCATTGCTTGTTACCCTGCCCGACCCGCCAAACACCGCACAGAACCCAGCGCGATGCCGCGAGACCCCCCCCATCCTTCTCCTCACTCTGGGCAGCAAAATACGAAGCAGGAGCATGGATGGGGTGGAACATAAAAACAACGAAGGCGAACAGGGAAATTTCGAAAGCGAGCCTTCCTCTTGCTCCCTCCCCTCCCCCCATCCCTGACGCCCGCTGGTATGATGTTTCCGATCAGCGGCCCCAGAAGTCCGTACCGCGCCAGGCTTTCGCCCCAGATCCATGTTTGATGGTCTTGAGGCCCGGTAGCGGGCCCTGGAAGCCTAGATTTACCAGTTTGAAACATATCCCCATCCCTATGTTTGACATCACCTCACCTCTATCCCGATCTTGAGGATTCCCTCAGTTTCTGAGGGCTTATCCCTAATATTGTCCTCGCTTTTTGCTCGCCCATCTTAGGGATAGGGATAAGTTCGAGGCTGGTTATAAATGAAAGAAGATTCACAGGATGAGAAGATCAGAGATCTGGGATCCCACCCTCCTGCCCATGGCCTCATCTCCCCATGACTGGTGACCACCGTCCTCTTCCATCTCCTCCCCGCCTACCGCTCCTTCTGCCCCTGCCCCCCCCTGCTCCTGCCCACGGTCTTGAATTGCTTGTGTCCCCTCCCCGCTCCTGGCCATCCCTTGCTGCTGCTACTCCTCCTCGGCGCCCCCCTGGACCCAGACATGATCGCGTCGTGAAGAATCACGATGGATGGTCTCTGGCAGTTTTCGGCCGCGGGCACCCTTCTGAGTCTTCGGGGCGAAGAAACCATGCCCTGGGAAAGGCCTGGACCTCTGGGCAGCCTGCATCAAAAAGCCAGACGTCTGGGCCTCGATCCTCTGGAGCCCTAGCTCCACAGGCCCCCAGACACTCGAGACGCCCCCCCCCCCCCCTCCCCCTTCCCCGCCTCATCCCCCCTCCTCCTCCTCGTCTTCCTCTTCCTCCTCCTCCTTCTACTCGTCCTCCTCCTCCTCCTCCTCCTCCTCCTCCCCGAAGGCCTGCTAGAGCCCCCCATCCCTGCCCTCCTCCCCATTCTCGCCGAGCCTCGCCGCAGGGAGCGCCCGGGAGCTCGCTCCCGAGCAGGTTCGCGGCGGACCTGCAAGAACGGGCCGATCGCCCCGAGAGCGTCCCGGGGCGAACCGTTTTCGCCCGGGGCGCCCTCGCGCCACGGGGGGCCGCGAGCCCGAACCGGCAGAGCAGAGGGGCATTTGTCTCGCCCCGAAGAAGAGAAAACGTCCTAAACATAAACTGTTGGCGTTCCGCGCCGGATTTCTTGGATCCGCTCTGGGCCCCCCCGGCGCCAGGGAGGGGGGTCCAAGAAACCTGCGCGGAGCGCCAAAAGCTTATGTTTATGGCGTTTTTTTGTCTTCTTCTTCTTCTTCTACTATCGTCGTCACGGTGGACCAGGGGCTGCGTTACACGCCCCTCAAGCTCGCGGGTGTTAGGCAAGAGGTCAATCCGGCATTTTCTTGCGGTGGTCTGGCAAGAGGTTAATCCGACAACATGTTGCTTACGCCCAGCTGTCAGCGTGCTTCCCGAGATGTCTTGGGTTGATGGTCGGGCGTAATGGTCTGGACGGGCTCACTCCTGGACCGACCTATTGCCCCCCCAAAAGTGTAGCCTCAAACTCGCGGGTGTTTTGCATGAGGTCATACAACCGACTTGAGCCTTCGGGTGCTTCCCCGAGTTCTTGGACAGACGGTTGGGCGTAACGGTCTGAACGGGTTCATTCCTGGATCGACCTATTGCCCCCGAAAACTGTCTCCTCGAGCTCGCGGGGGTCTTGCGCGATCATAGGGTTGAGCCTTCGGCGCGCTGACCACACAGAGGGCTCATCAACCATAGCGTGGAGCACGCACGTTCCGCATTGTGAGGGGCGCGTTCGCATACGACCCCGGCCTCTTCCCATGCGAATGCCTACCGCACCACACACTCAGGATTTCAAGGATGAGACTTGGAACACTGAACTCTGAGGGTCGCCTTATCCTTAGAGATGGGCTTAGGCGCCCTGAAAGCCTATAGCGTACTTGGCAGGCCTCCTCCTCCTCCTCCTCCTCCTCCTCCTCCTCCTGCTCTTCCTCCTCCCTCCCCCCTCCTCCTCCCCCCCAATGTGGGACCAGGTCGTGCAGCTTCCGCGACGTCCGTGCGACAGGTGCCGCGATGCCGCGGCCGCCGCCACGGCCGCAGCGTTGGCCACCCTCGAGGCCTCGGCCTCTCTGCCGCGGCGATCGCCGCGGCCGCCCCGCGGCGGCACCTTTCGCGCGCAAAGTGCGGAAGCTGCAGGTCCTTGGTTTTGTCCACCCCCTTCCTTTTGTCAAACATAGCCAAAAAGTAGCATGGGGACGATGTATCGACTACTGTTGCTCATGTTTGAATCTTGTTTGATATTTTCTGATTTGTCCTCCAAGATCCGCCTGTAGGATGGACATGCCCGACCTAAACTAGGGGAACGACCAATGACATAAACACAAAAACTCGGAGGTCCGCGCAGATTTCTCGTATCGGCGGTGGGGCCCCCTGGCGGCGCCTCCAGCGCCACCCCTGGCGCGTTCCGCGCGCCAGGGAGGGGGGTCCAGCGCCGATCCGAGCAGTCCGCGCGAACCTCCGAGTTTTGTGTTTATATCATTGTTTGTTTCCCTCTAATCTAGGCCGCCTAGATGGGGTCGGAGCAAATGGGGTCAGAGGATCACGCCGCATCGCCGATGCATCGGCGATGCACCGGCGATGCGGCGCGATGTGCGGCCCAATTTTCTCCACGCCGACGTCGCGGATGTACCGCTGACGTCGCCAGTGCATGGCCGATGCATCGGTGATGCATCGGCGATGCGGCGAGATCCTTCGACCCCATCTACTCCGACCCCGTCCAGGAGGCCTCCGTGTAACCCTTCCGCACCTCGCACCTCGCGCCTCGCGCCAGCCCTCGCGAGGGGCAGACGGGCGCCCACCGGGAAACGCGCACGGGAGAGCCGCGCCCTCGCTGGCCGGCCCAGCCTCCCTGGCTGGCGCGAGTGCGCGAAGGCACGATGCCGCCTCGCGAGGCTCGGGGCGAAGGCGGGGGTGGCTCATCATTATCATCATCATCATCATCATCATCATCATCATCATCATCATCATCATAAGCAGCAGCAGCAGCAGCATCACCATCACCATCACCATCACCATCACCATCACCATCACCATCACCATCACCATCATCATCACATCATCACTATCAGCATCGTCATCATCATCAACATCATCATCACCATCACCATCATCATCTTTACTATCGTCATCATCATCATCAGCATCGCCATCATCATCATCATCAGCAGCATCGCCATCATCATCATCAGCACCATCAGCACCATCATCATCATCGTCATCAGCATCATCAGCATCATCATCATCATCATAATAATATCATCATAATAATATCATCATCATCAGCATCATCATCACCATCATCGTCATCATCATCATCATCATCCTCATCATCATTGTCATCATCATCATCATCATCATCATCATCATCATCATCATCATCATCATCATCAGCATCATCCAGGCGAAGGTTTTGGCCGGTCACGGGTTCTCGGGGGCGCCGACGGCGGGCGGGGGGGCGGCGAGGGAGGCGCTCTACCTCGCTCTGCCCGTGTGCTCGGGCCCCTGCTCCGCCGCCTTCTCTCTCCCTCTCCCTGTCCCCCTTCTCCGCCTCCTTCTGCTCCTTTCCCGCCACGTCGCGTCCGGCGACAGTCCGTCGCTTGCGCCACGTCGGGCGGCGGCCGCTGCTCATTTCCCGTAACGTGGTTTGGGCCTAGCTCGAACAGGTTTCAGTACATATATTCGATCCACCGAACATTGCACGTGTCGTCTTCTGCGATGGCGCTTTTCGGCCGCGCGGCCACCCTTGTCGTGCTCGGGGCCCCAACGGCGGCCTCTCTGTCATTAGATGCCCGTGCGGGATGCGGCGGCCCCTCGATGGACTTCCCCGCGTTCGTTGAGAAGTATGGGCGCTCCTACCAGGTTGGCACCGATGAGTACAGCACGCGCCAGGCGGTCTTCGAGCGTCGCACCGCCCGGATCGCGAGCCACAACTGCAACCCGGCGGGCCTCCACACGGCCGAGATCAACCACCTCGCCGACTGGACCCCGGAGGAGCTCGCCACCCTCCGCGGCCACAAGTCTCGCAGGGGCGCGCCGGGCGGCGTTGGTCACTCGCCGTTCCTCCTGGCGAAGCGGGGCAAGGGCAAGGACAAGCCCGTTCCCACGGACTTCTCGTGGGGCCACCTGGCCTCCATCAAGGCCAACAGCAGCGAGCAGGAGAGTGTTCTGTAAAGTAGTTTCGGGGCCCTCCCAGTCATCGCTCCAGCCCGCCCCTTTGTGAGCCCAACCTCTTCGGCCGCGCGTGGGTGTTGCGGGTTTGGGAAGGGGAGACGACGTGGAGCGGACGGGGGCAATGACGAGGGAGAGGACCGTGCCGTGCGGTTCTCTGCGTTACGCAGTGCTGTGTCGACTTTGCGCCGTGCTGTGGTGGTTAGCCTCGATGTTGTGCCAC